GCAACTGTATAGACCCCACTTCGTGAAATGTTGGCACAGAGGGCTCTTGTTGATTTGCTGGCCCGCCTTCACTTAGGGCGGGCACTAGGCTTGCTGGGGCCTTAGCCCAGAACATGTACATCATGGCAAGGCCCCTACTTGAGGGCTCAATCCTCACACAGACATGTCCAAGAGGCAATTATTCCCCCGAGGGCCCCGATCCAATAATGATTAGTTCTACTGAAACTAGAAATGAAATATCTCACTGAAATACTAACAAGTTAAACAAACATGAATGAGCAATAATATACTCCTTCCTTTCAAAAATCAGCGTTCACGAGCCTAAATATCATCTCCCGCATGCTTTGCTCTAAGCAGGTTATTATGTTGCATGTCAGATGGTTCTATACACCACGCTGTCATCAACTTTGACAATAAATACAGAGAAAGGACATGCCTAGCCAACTGCGCCATAGAGAGGAGAAAAATAGCCCAGGCAGCTCAGGCAGTTCAGGCAGATTGCGCACACATCATGTGCACTGAGAAGATTTGAAAGTATTGGTATTGGAAAGCCGTGTTCTGTTCACACTCTGCTATCAACAACCTCACCCCTAGCTCCTTCCATTTCATCCCCTAAATAAACTCCTACATTTCCCCTTCAGTCGAACGTTTTCTCAAACTCTTCAATCGACTTGAATAGCTCTGAGAAATTTCCCTTGCCAAAGCCTCCGCAACCCCCTCTCTGCGCAACTTTGCCGTCCTTGTCCACCTCCATGCAGCCGACGCGTTGAATTATCTCGATGAAGATTGTTGGCCGGTCGCCGACTGGCTTTGTGAAGATCTGCAGCAGCAGTCCCTGATTGTCCTTGTCGACTAGAATGCCCAGTTCTTTACATTGCTGTAGCTGCTCCGGCGTAAGGTCCTCCCCGAACTTCTCCGGCAGGCACTTATAGTACGCATCTGATGCTCTGGGCATGAACTCAAATCCTCCCATCGAGCTCCTCGCTCGCATCTGCCTCAGAGTATGAAAGATGTCATCACACGCAAGGGCAATATGCTGGACCCCGGGCCCTTCATTGTGTTCCAGGTACGTTTGGATCTGGGACTGCCGCTTTGTCCCAAACGTTGGCTCATTGACTGGCATGAGCACCTTCTCGCTGTTGTCTGCCATCACCATGCTGTTCAGTCCGCTGTCAACGGTTCCGACGTCCTCTGCAACAAACTCAGCGAACTCGTGGAAACCTGTCATGTTTGCAATGTACTGGACTGCAGGCAGGAGCTGGGGTACGTTGCCGACAACATGGTCGATATTGGTCAACCCAAGTGTGCAAATGGGTGCCTCCACAGGTCGGTAGTTGGGAAGGAAGGGACCTTGAAAGGGCTTGAGACCTTCTCGCGGCGGCTGCTCGTCATCCATGCTCTCATCATCAGAGGGCAACTCCGGGGTGCTCACGTAACGAAGCACAACATCTCCGTACAGCACCACCTCTGATATGTCCATCACTCCACCAGTGGTTGCATCGACAAGACGTACGGGCTTGAGCATGCCAATGCCACCATGTTTGGTGCTCTCTTCATAGGCGGTTGCTGCATCCCCAACAAGAAGCCCAACAGCAGCCACAGCTACTCCATGCTTGTCAAAGAAGGAACGAGCATTCTCTGGATTGAAATGAGGATGCGGAACAGCTGGTAAACCATCTTGCCCCTGCTCCACTGCGGAGAGCTCCTTGGCACATAACTGCTTGGAATAGGGTGCTGTGAAGACAAAGGTGATGTCGCCAGATTGGAGCACACGACTGCTGTAAAGGTGATTACCCGTCGTGAGGTTCGACAGCACGGTTTCACGCATGCCCATCGCCCACGCAAACCTATGACTCACATTGAGAGCATCACCACAGTAAAACTCCAAATGATGGAACCCTTTCACCACGAACCGGTCCGACTTCAGGTTCTCCCTGACAAAGTTCTTATGTCCCACCAGTTTCTGTGGGACTGTCTTCGTTGTATCCGCATCCAGAGCTGGCTTGCGTGGGTCTTGTGTGGTCAGGGACTGAGTCTTGCTGCTGAGGACGGGTGCGCTTGCCCTTGTTTCTGCGCCTCCATTTGCCATGCCGTTCCCAGATGGTCCCATGCTTGTCGACAGCATCGGGAATGCCGAATGAGCTACAGCAAATGACATTTTCGAGAAGCAAAAACACCAACTACTGTGCCTTTTCCTGATGAATTAGCAGTAGAAGATTGGACCTTGCATCAGTTATGGTCAGTCTGTGTCTGGACCTTGCATCGGCTCTCGTCAGTCTGTGGAGACACAAAGCAAAACAGGAGAAAGGACAGGACTTACTGGTAGGATGTAGCTGTTGATTACTGTTTAATTTTCCTTCTTGAAAAAGGGTGGCGGCCTCGAGATACCATCATTGAAGCTGACCGGCCCCAGGTAATCCAGAATTACGTTATTCTGGCCATCTGGTAATCCAAAATTATGTTATTCTGGGCATCTTTATTTCAACAGTTCGTGGGTGTACCAACGATCTAGCTGTTCCTTACTGTTTAATTTAATAATTATAGACGCACAAGATACCTTTCTCGGCCTTTTGGCTAAGATCGAATGTCGTATATGTCCTGATCATTTTAGAACACAGGTTGAAGTAATTACAAGTTCACAGCTGAAAGAACTCTTATCACAACTCAAGCAAATGGTGCATTCTTCCTGCTGCCTAGTCCCTACGCAGCATGAACTTCGCAATCCGTAGCACCTCTCTCTCTCTCTCTCTCTCTCTCTCTCTCTCTCTCTCTCTCTCTCTCTCTCTCTCTACACACACACACACACACGTCGGCGGCAACCTTCGCCAAGGTTGGTGCTCTCTCTCTCTCTCTCTCTCTCTCTCTCTCTCTCTCTCTCTCTCTCTCCCCACACACACACACGTGAAGTAGTGTATATGTCCATGTTCTAGCGGAAGATTCATCGATTTTGCTCATCCTATCGATGGAAGTAGGTTGAGGCCAGCCGCCGGGCTGGAGGCTTACCTGTTCGCCCGTGCGTTGCTCATCCTATCGATGGAAAACTCTCTCTCTCTCTCTCTCTCTCTCTCTCTCTCTCTCTCTCTCCCAGATTCCATAAAAGCTCTTTTTTCCTATTTACCCAAGAAAAAAAAAGCTCTTCCTAAATGATCGGATCGTCTCTTGGAAGTGCTAAGGAAAACGGGAAGCAGTGCTAATAAGCAGCAGGAGCTGGAAGACACACAAAAAAAAAAGCAGCAGCAGGAGGTAAGGTAGAAACGGCTTGAAAAGATCCTTCCTGAGATAATAATGACCATCATTCCACTGCAGCACCGTTCTCACCCAAATAGAACGGCGGACGAGGAGGAGGAGGCGGAGAAGGAGGAGGGGGAGGAGGAAGAGGAGGAGAGGGAGGGGGAGGGGGAGGTGGAGGAGAAAATGGAGCACAGGAAGGGGGAGGATGAGGGGGAGGGGAGGAAGGAGAGGGGAGAGAAAGGGGAGGAGTATATATAATAACGTATTTCTACATATATTGTCACACTGTAAATCGGAGAGCAAAGGCGAAAAACGAGAAAACAAGGAAAAGAAGTCAGGACGGAAAGCCCCACCTGTTCATCACCTCTTCCGGACAAGGCCAGCCACGTGGATGACAGGTTGAGAGCTGGCTGCCCCCATCCCCGTGTGTCACAAGGACCCACTTACACGCAGCCAAAAGGCGAAGACGTAATGTATACAGTTAGTATAATTCAACAATGTCTTCATAGTCAGTATAAAGTCAGTATAAAGTCAGTATAAATCGGACAAAAATGTATAAAGTCAGTATAATTCAACAATGTCTTCATAGTCAGTAGATTAATAAGATAGTGCATAGGATCAGTGTCTGCATCACAAGAAGCAGAAACCAGAGTGGAGGAAAAGACCCCCGACGCAGGTACGACCTTCGAGTTACAAGAGTGGGGACAACACACGCGGTACCTCCGACTTCCTCCGCAAGAGAAATACAACAGACTAAAGAGCATGTCCAAGAAAACATGACAGATGTCACGAACGAAAAAAAAGGGGGGAAAAAAAACGAGTGGTCAAAATACACAAGATTCGACAGCACCTTGTTGAGATCGTTGCCGTGTGAACCTGACCTCGGAGTTAAAGACAAAGCGAGCAGATGGACCGACATTAGGAAGAGGCGAGAACACGGCGAGAAACGGTGGAAAAAAGACAGATCTGGTGTAACGTTGGCTCTTCAAGGGTAGAAGAGCCGTCCGTATCGAGTACAACAACGAACGAATGGCCCTGCGGAAGCACTGAGGATCGCACAGGGGCCAACTCCAGGCGTGGGAATGGGGCACAACGGACAAAGACAGACACTAGAAGTGGAGTGCCCAAGTACACCAGAGGGTAACACACCGGAGGGACAAATCGAAGGGCGATGGACAGAGCAATGAGGGCAAAACAAAAAAAGCGAATAGCGAGACGGGACGCAGAAGGCGCAAAATGGAGATGGACGTCGACAAGGAGATCAGGAAACGCAAGACTGTGTGAAAGAACCAACGACGCGAAAAGGAGAGCCCAGACATACGGCTCAGCGAGGGATCGAGCGATCAGCAAATAGCATCGCCGCACTGCCAGATAAACAATCAAGTAACGACGACGACGTACAGTCTAGCCCTGAAGGAGAGGGCGACAGAAAATGAAAGTCCTTGAAGCCAGGGAATGAGCTGCTGAGGCAAAGAAGTGACACCAGAGGGTACGCAGATGATGACAGTTGCACAAAACGACCACCATAACAAGAAAAAAAGCACGGGATATGAATCAGGAACCAAAGAGTCGGAAACGGATGACACGATGAAATGGACTCCATGTCGTCTTCGGACCGAGATGGAATGAGAAAGAAACAACAGAAGATCGAGCAAAGCGAGAGAGATCACAAATAGAGGAACAGTGCGCTGAGGGTTAACATAAAACCACGACCAAGCAGAAACAGATACTTTCCGACGGCACGAATGCGCATGGAAGCCAGGAAATGGGAGTGGAGGACCAAGAGGGAAACGCGAAGGACTGAGGATAGAACTGAATTTGCTTAGAGAGGAACTCATCCCGAATGCAGAGGGTGAGACATCGGGGCAAAAGAATGTTAGTAAAGGGCGTGAAAGACGAGGAGGGCACAAACAAACGACGGAGATTAAGTGCATGACCACAGTGCCAGAGTACGAATGCGAAGACGACAAACACGACCAGCCCAAGTCGACGGCGCCAGACAGTCTACAATCGAAGAGCAACGAGGGGAGAGCGCGCCAGGGCGGCAGGCGAGAGAGTCTGCTGTCGAAGGCGAACGCAGCAAGGGCACGGTTCTCAACACGGCGGACCGCACCCTGATTAGACCGGAGGACGATAGCACCAAAGATCAGAAACAGATCCCAAACAGGAGAACGATCTCTACAAGGCAGAGGAGGGCGATGGCACACAGCGGACAGCCGACGAAGAGCGAAGACACACAGGCCACAGGCGAGATCACCAATGCACGCCAGGTCACGGTTCACGGATCACGTCAGGAAACGACGTGCGTCGTGTGATCTGAGCCGCCCATTGTTGTGAACTCATCGAAGGCCAACAATACGAGAAGGGTTCGAGAAAAGAGGATTATTAGAAATTGAATGAGTGGAGGAGGTGAGGAGACTTACCTCTCACGGCGACCTTCCAAAGGTGGCAAGAAAGACTCCGAATAATGTGCTGGGAAACCTGCACTTCACACTAAGAAAACGACACATGCACGACACAAAGTGAGCACTTCACAGACACGATCTGCACACCGCTGTCAAGATACCACAACAGGACATTGAGAAGGCAGGACATTGAGAAGGCAACGGACAGTACGGCGCACTCAACGAAGGTGATGACAACTGAAGGACACCCAACGCTACGGCACACTGAACGATTGCTGTTCGTGAACCTACGATTGCTGAACGTGAACTGACACTAGTTCGCAGCCCGTAGGAGCTGCGTTCACCACCGTTGGCTTTTGTCGTTTTGTGTGGTGGACTGCAATGGTCGCTGGGGTGAGGGCGTTGAGAGGTCGTCCAATAGGGGGACACATTGAGAAGGAGGGATTAAAGGCATGGGAGATGATTGGGCGACCGAAGTACAGGGTAGGCGCCCAGAATTAGAGCAGACGGCGGGTGGAGACCGTCGTTTGTGAGAACGGGTGCAGAAGGGGTTTTGTCGGGCCTTGTTTCGTTTGCCTTGTTTGTCATCATTCCGTTTTCCATTTTTCTCCAATTTGGTGGCGCCTTTGTGAAGGCACAATCTATCTGCGGGATTCGTGGGGCACCTGTGGAGGGAGTTCAGAAGAAAGCAGAACTCAACTGCCGTTATTTTTAATTTTTATTTTTTTCTCAAAATTTGTTTTTCTTTTTTATTTATTTTTTAGAGATGAACTGAAGCCAAGTCCCACTAGCAGCGTTGAGCTACAATTTGTGGAGACGTGCAGTTCAGGAAACTCAACACCATTTCTGCATATCTCCGCAAAAGCGTCCAGATTCAGGCGTTGAGGTAGCTCAACGCTGCTAGTGGGACTTGGCCCCTGATGAGTAAAACCAAATATTTCCTTTTTTTTTAAGGCTAAATCCGTGGCCAAGTCCCACCAGCAGCGTTGAGTTTCCTCAACACCTGAATCTGGACGTTTTCAGTGGAGATGTGCAGAAAATGCGTTGCATTGCCTTCCTCAACACCTGAATCTGGACGTTTTCAGTGGAGATGTGCAGAAAGTGCGTAGCGTTGCCTCAACAGCACATCTTCACGAACACATCCAGATTCAGGCGTTGAGGAAACTCAATGGTGCTGGTGGGACTTGGCCCCTGTGAAGCTGGTCAGCACAATGATATCTCAACGCCGTGGCCCTTTTTTTTTTCTTTTTTTTTTTTAACACAATATATGGTATGGACTATTTCTCGATTTATTATGTGTATGGTATGGACTATGGGTCTCGCTCTAAGCATGCTCTCAGATTAGCGACGCAAAGTTTCTTCTGCTTCGTCGCNGGTCTCGCTCTAAGCATGCTCTCAGATTAGCGACGCAAAGTTTCTTCTGCTTCGTCGCCAGCTAAGGGTATTGCCTGCTTCTTTTGCATTTGGTGCCTTCCTGTGCCCTGGACAGTGTTTTGTGGGTGGCATCTGCTGCCTCTGGTAGTCTGGGCAGGTGGCGGACAAAGGTACAAAAAAAGTGTGTACGGGGACGGGGCTCACAACTCCCGGTGGGGTGGGACAACCTGGCTGTCCTTGATGGTCATTCTGTGCTGATGTGCTTCGCCTTGGGCACTGGGCCCTGTTAATGAAAAATTGATTTTTTCGGAAACAAAAAAACAGAAAAAAAGTACAAAACGAGAGCGATCGTCTGGCTCACGTGTGGAGGTGAGTTTAGAAGAAAGCAGAATGCATCGGGCCGGTTTTTTTTTTTTTTTCCGTTACAATATTTGTGTTTTTTTTCTTTTGGGGGATTCAATCTCATTTCGTGAATCAGGAGTTCAGAGGCGAGGTCCCACTAGCAAAGAGGATTGGATGGAATGCCCGAGTCTGGACGTGTTTTGAAGCATAAAGAAAGACAGGCAGTCGTTCATGCTTTTTCGTTGCTGCGGCCCTCGCAGTCCAGCCTCGCCACCGCTTACGGGCTGCGGGCCCGCGTCAGCCTGGTATGTCAGTAGTACCTAGTACTGCGCGCCGTACCCCTAGGGTTTGGAGACCGCATAGTAGTGGGTTACGCACTTTTACATGTATTTGGCCACATTCTGTAGGGCGATGGACTCACACTGACATAATTTTTTCCTTTCTGCGTGTGGCCCCACTCCAGTGTCGGGAGCCCAAAGGCCCGGGGCCGTTCGGGCGGGCTGTTCTTCTGAGTCAGGCCCTGACCGTTCGTGCAAAAGCGGGAACTACTACTGGCAAGCCTCATGGCAGTCTCTAGCCGTTCTTCAAGTTTCCGCCAGGCCCTGTTTCCGCCTGCATTTTTTCATTTTTTCCCCCACAGTCCATTTTCCCGCCCAGCATGAATGGACCATGTCACGAGGCGGGAACTGTATTCCGCACTATCAACCCAAAGGCAAAAAGAAAAGGGGCCACATGGCTTGGCAGGAAACGTGTTCCGCCAGATAAACCCTTTTGGGAAAAGAAAAAAAACTATTCAAAAAAGAAACATAGAACTACTGAAAACGGAAATGTCCACCCCCGACTGTAACTCAGGAATGATTTTTCAACGGTGCCCAACAAGTGACAGGAATGTCAAGTAAAACTGAAACCCGCCCAGTAGCAGGAAAATTTTGAAGTTCACCTGAAATTTTCACTTTCAATTATAATTCCAGTTTATAAATTTTCTGTTGAAGTTGCCTCTTCAACTCATGCAGTCAAAGGTGTGCGCACTACCTTTGACAAAGGCAAGACTGTCACCCACGCATTGAACTTCTTTGTCCTTGACAAGTGCCCCTTCGACGCCGTCCTTGGCTTGGGCTTTCTGCAGTCCCAATGCGAATGGACCAAGTGGAAGGAATCACTCTTCATGGTCAAAGATGCTCAGGGGAACGAGCTTCCTGTCCTCTTGGATGAGAANTGCAGTCCCAATGCGAATGGACCAAGTGGAAGGAATCACTCTTCATGGTCAAAGATGCTCAGGGGAACGAGCTTCCTGTCCTCTTGGATGAGAAGTGCGAATCCCAGTGACTTTTTTGAATGCTATGCAGTTCTGCAAGAAATGACGCAAGCACAAGGAGGAAGAACAATTGTATGTTGTCTTTGTTCGTCCTAGCCCGTAGGAGCTCCGTTCACCACCGTTGGCTTTTGTCGTTTTGTGTCATGGACTGCAATGGTCGCTGGGCGTGTACCGGTAGTGAGGGCGTTGAGAGGTCGTCCAATAGGGGGACACATTGAGAAGGAGGGATTAAAGGCATGAGAGATGATTGGGCGACCGAAGTACTGGGTAGGCGCCCATAATTAGAGCAGACGGTGGGTGGAGACCGGTCGTTTGTGAGAACGGGTGTAGAAGGGGGTTTGTCGGGCCTTGTTTCGTTGACCTTGTTTCTTCATCATTCCGTTTTCCGTTTTTCTCGAATTTGGTGGCGCCTTTGTGAAGGCACAATCTATCTGCGGGATTCGTGAGGCACGTGTGGAGGTGAGTTCAGAAGAAAGCAGAACTGAACTGCCGTTATTTTTAATTTTTAATTTTTTCTCAAAATTTGTTTTTCATTTTTATTTATTTTTAAGAGATGAACTGAAGCCAAGTCCCACTAGCAGCGTTGAGCTACCTCAACGCCTGAATCTGAACGTATTTGTGGAGACGTGCAGTTCAGGAAACTCAACACCATTTCTGCGTATCTCCGCAAAAGCGTCCAGATTCAAGCGTTGAGGTAGCTCAACGCTGCCAGTGGGACCTAGCCCCTGATGAGTAAAACCATTTTTTTTTTTTTTTTTTAAGGCTAAATCTGGGGCCAAGTCCTACCAGCAGCGTTGAGTTTCCTCAACACCTGAATATGGACGTTTCCAGTGGAGATGTGCAGAAAGTGCGTTGCGTTTCCTCAACAGCACATCTTCACAAACACATCCAGATTCAGGCGTTGAGGAAACTCAACGGTGCTGGTGGGACTTGGCCCCGGTGAAGCTGGTCAGCACGATGATATCTCAACGTCGTCGTCCATTTTTTTTTTATTTTTTTTTAACACAATATATGATATGAAATATTTCTCGATTTATTATGTGTATGGTATGGACTATGGGTCTCGCTCTAAGCATGCTCTCAGATTAGCGACGCAAAGTTTCTTCTGCTTCGTCGCNGGTCTCGCTCTAAGCATGCTCTCAGATTAGCGACGCAAAGTTTCTTCTGCTTCGTCGCCAGCTAAGGGTATTGCCTGCTTCTTTTGCATTTGGTGTCTTCCTGTGCCCTGGGTAGGTTGTTGTTAAAGTGTTTTGTGGGTGGCATCTGCTGCCTCTGGTAGTCTGGGCAGGTGGCAGAATTAAACAAAGGTACGAAGAAAGTGTTTACAGGAACGGGGCTCCCAACTCCCGATGGGGTGGGAGAACCTGACTGTCCTTGACGGTCATTCTGTGCTGATGTGCTTCGCCTTGGGCACTGGGCCCTGTTAATGAAAATTTATTTTTTTCGAAAAAAAAAAAAAAAAGAAGTACAAAACGAGAGCGATCGTCTGGCTCACGTGTGGAGGTGAGTTTAGAAAAAACAAGAACGCATCAGGCCGTTTTTTTTTTTTTTTTTTTCGTTACAATATTTGTTTTTGTTTTTTTGGGGGATTCAATCTCATTTCGTGAATCAGGAGTTCAGAGGCGAGGTTCCACTAGCAAAGAGGATTGGATGGAATACCCGAGTCTGGACGTGTTTTGAAGCATAAAGAAAGACAGGCAGTCGTTCATGTTTTTTCGTTGTTGCGGCCCTCGCAGTTCAGCCTCGCCACCGCTTACGGGCTGCGGGCCCACGTTTGCGTGGTATGTTATTAGTACCTAGTACTGCGCGCCGTACCCCTAGGGTTTGGATACCGCATAGTAGTGGGTTACACACTTTTACGTGTATCTGGCCACATTCTGCAGGGTGATGGACTCAAACTAGCATAATGTTTTCCGTTCTGCGTGTGGCCCCACTCCAGTGTCGGGAGCCCAAAGGCCCGGGGCCGTTCGGGTGGGCTGTTTTTCCGAGTCACACCCTGACCGTTCGTGCAAAAGCGGGAACTACTACTGGCAAACCTCATGGCAGTTTCTAGCCGTTCTTCAAGTTTTCGTCAGACCCTGTTTCCGCTGGCGTTTTTTCATTTTTTCCCCCACAGTCCATTTTCCCGCCCAGCATGAATGGACCATGTCACGAGGCGGAAACTGTATTCCGCACGATTAACTCAAAGACAAAAAGAAAAGGGGGCACATGGCTT